TCTGTGATTTATTTATGGATAGTTAGGAATGGGTGAGAATGTCATTTCAGGCTTTAACAAAACGTGCAAAATTCAAACGTGAGTAACGGTGAAACCAGAAAATTTTCCATCCCTAAAAGGTGGGTGTTAATTTCTTTCATTTTTTTCTTCATAATTTGCTATTTTTTTAAAAAAAAAATCCAAGTGAATGAGAAAGGAGTAGTGAAACTGACAGATTTCCTTATCTGTCATCAGGATACTGAACAGTCCTCAACAGAAGGGCTAAAGGAATTGGGTAAGACTAAGGCACTCCTCCCATACCCAAAGGTCAGTCAAATGAAAGAGGGCAAGGTGAGAACTGAAGTCTAAAAAAAGTAACTTTTCCTCTTTCTGGCAAAGGCCTATTCTCTGCTGCTGCCTCAGATGGAAGAACTAGACTTAGGGGCGAAAGAGACCACCCATTTGCGGTGGCTTCAGAGCATGGCATTTTGACACTGCAAGCTCTGAAGCCACCCCGAATCTTGAATCTTCTTAATAATAATAATAATAATAATAATAAAATTTATTTATATACTGCCCAATGGTTGCCCAATCAGGGCGGTTTACAACATAAAACACAATTACAATAAAGAACAATTCCCACCCCCTTAAAACATTATTAAACAAATAACATGATTAAAATCCATTAACAATTAAAACAGAATAAAATCATAATAATTAAATGATTAAAACATTCCACAATACCCCATTATTACGCTTTTTATTATTCTTGTCCCCAAAATCAACCTTTCATATATAAGAATAACAACTTCTTAATAGGAAATTTCACCCTTTCTTGGGGAATTCAAGGAGAGAGAGAAAAGCTACTTGTTGCGAATGTTTTCACTTAGCATTACCTGCATCACACAGAAGTGCACTTGGACTACATGGCCTATCAGGCTTTCCTTCCCTATACCCATGTTCATATGAGCAAAAGTTCTCTCATGGCATTCCCTGAGTAGGCATGCATGTTGCTTATGTACATGCTTGCATTTTTAAAATCCTCCCCCATTCCTGTTATGCCATAATATACAACATGTTTACCCAGATGCAGGCACACTTGAATACAAATTCTGAAGTTCTGGCATCTATCATATATAGACCCTCAGTGGAGAAGCCAAAAAATGCAAGCAGCTATGCTGATCTATATCAACAAACTAGTTCTAGCAGTTCTCATCTCCACCAGAGGCTAATGGGTTTTAATTGCTTGCTCAAAGGCTGAACTGCCCTTATTGCTAAGAAGTTTTTCCTAATTTTCAGCCACCCTGAAATAATTTGCATTAGGACAGGGATCCTTCAGAACAATATGTTGCTGGGGAATTGTGCTCCCACTCCTAGGTTCTGTAAGGACTGCAGCCAAACACAGAAGAAACAGAAATATTGTGTATGCTTGTGTGTTCATATCAGCCCAGCTAATCAGTAAGTCCTTGCGTTGATCCTATGAGCCCTGGTTTCACTACACACCATATAACTAAACAGACCCCAGATGAGACTACAGGGAAATCTTAGCTCATACTCCTAGTGGCAATGAGTCCAGTTTTGTATGAGTATATTGACTCCCTCTATGTTAACATGTAGTAAGCCAGTGTGGTGTAGTGCAGTGGTCCCCAACCTTTTTATTG